AGGCCACTTCTGTGACTTTCGCACAACCAATTTTCATAGTCATGTGCTTTAGATTTGTCTTCAATACAAAAAAATATCAGAAAAAGGAAGTTCACCTTCTTTCTTTCTTTTTCTTCTTTATTTTATTTTATTTTATTTTATTTTTGGTGGTAAATTAGAGTAGGGGATTCAAACACGGGCATAGCCGCATAACCACTTGGGGAGTTAGACGATCTACTAATTAAGCCACTAAATAATGCCAAGAAAGGTTGCCTTTTGTGTGTCTAAACTAGGGGTGGCAAAAGATACCAAAACCCAAAAACTCACGCAAATCCGCCTAACAATTATTAGGTGTTACGTGACTAGTTTAGTTGAATGAGTTATTAATGGGTAAATCATTAATGGGTAATATATTTAATGGGTTGGTAGTAGGTTAATAATGGGTACCCACTTAACTCACCACACATGATATTTTTTAAAATCAAATTACTTTGTTTCATTTTCTCTCTCTCGTCTCCCTCACACCTCTCATTTTCTCTCTACACTCTTTATTTCTCTCGTCTCTTTGCTCTCATTTCTCTTTTCTCATTTATCTCGTTTTCTCGTCTCTATCTCTCTCCTCTCGTTTTCTATCTCCTTTCGCTTCTCTCTCCTCTCTTTTTTTTCCTACCCTTTTTTCTCTCCCAGGGGTGGCAATTGGGATTTATATATCTATATATGTAACGACTCAAATCCGGAGGTCCAGATCGTAAACTAAGTCCTAGCCCAACTCGAAGACACCCAAAGGTAAAATGGTTATTTCAAAATAATTGAGAGGAGTGGGTTAACTCTAAATGGGTCAAAAGATATCCATTTAGGTCATCACAGCTATATAAACCCATTTTATATGGTTAAAGATGCAAGAACAATGTTGTCACATGATTAGCTATATATCTACAGTTGGAATGTTTGGGTGAAGTTGGTATCATTGGAAAGCTGACTCAAAATTCTTGAGTTTAGACTCAAATTTGACTCAATATGGTTAATAAATAAAAGAGATATGACCGTTTGAAGTTGGGTCAAGATTGCAAGTGACTAAAAGCTTCAATAGGCAGAAAATATAAGATCAGCCGGCAGATAGTGAGGGTCAGTCGGCCGAAACAACGTATTAGCGTAGAAAACTCTCTATTCTGGCCCTCAGTCAGCTAGTGGGCCTTGCCAGCCAGCTGATAGGGCCTGGGAATGACAAAATATGGCCCAAAAATGCATTTTTAACCCCCGTTTAAGTACCCAAACAACTTGACATCCTAATGGCTTCATTTGTGACCTTGGCTATGGTTAAAACCTGCCTCGAAACACCCACAAACACATATACATTGATAAAATAACATTCGTACATCAAGATGAAATCATAATACATCATTATTCATCGAGATAAATTCGTTTACATTGATTTTAAATACATTATTATTATTATTATTATTATTATTATTATTGAATACATGATACAACAAAACATAAGTTCCTAATTTTGTATAGTCAAGCATAGGCGTAACATCCTCTTCATCACTTCAAGTCCTAAAAATGTTTAAAGTAAAATGGTGAGCACCAACGCTCAATAGAAGATGCTTAAGGCGTCAACTTTGGACTCTCTTGAGCCCCATAACACATAATACGATAAAAGAGAATCAGGTTCATACTTGGGGATTTCTTAACATTTAATTTACAAATCAATCTCAACAATGGAAATTTGGCATTTCAATACAAATGTGGATAGAGTGCAATGCAATGCCCCATGATTTCCCAGCCTTAGTCTCAACCGACTCCAATCTTGGCCTTTACCGGTGAGATTGATACTATATATCCTTCGTTCCAAATCCAGCAACCATGAGTCTAGTACCAACGTTACACGTCTTATACCGGACCGCGCTCCCTCTAGGTCAATTTAGCCCCAGGCTCGCGATACCCAGTCCATTTCTAAGTTCTTTTTTCCCACCTATTCTAAAATGGCCTAATATACTTCTTATTCAAGTGTCCTACCATGCCATGCACATGAATGCAATTTCATCATTTTAACATCACTAATGTGGCATTAATGGTATGAACATGGCATTATCAAGACAATAGCTATAAAAATCGCATTTTCTCATGGAAATTAAGAATAACAATATCATCACCTTCCACCAAATAATCACAACAAAACACTTGCTACGTATAACCATAAGCATGCTCTTCATAAAAAATTACATCTTTTCAACTATGTTAACACTTAACATTTAACATAGAAAGGCATCATATTATTCACTTTTAAGCATTCTTAGCTCACATTCAACACTTAATCAACATTTAGCTATCAATGAAATCATAATCTCACATTTTGTTAGAAAACAATTGAAGGACAAAATAATTTCTCAATAAAAGGCAAAGCATCATGACTTAGAAAACCCCTACCTCAATTGTGTGCAACCAAACAAGGCCTTAGTCAAGCTCTAAACTCGAAATCCTCCAAACCCTAGCATCCATGGTGCCAAATGAAAGCCCTCGTCGAGTAGAACAAAACTCTATCCTTGCTCTTCATTAAAATTCTACTATAAACCCTTCAAATATAAGCTTTAACAAGGTAGATACATATTTGTTTATAGATATAAAGAGAGAAGAAGAGTTTAGAGAGAGAGAGGAAGCCAAATGGGAGGAGGAAGAGGAGGTTGGCTTTGTCTTGCAAATACATACATGGTCCATATTGTGCCACTTGGCACTCATTAGGTGATTACTACCTTAGGGCTAAATTACCTCCTTGTCCTTGCTCTTCCATTTTAACACCAAGCCCATCCCCAAAATATCTTCTCCATGAATAGATATATGTATATGTAGATGTGTGTGAAATGACCATAATGTCCCTTACTTAAAATGAGAAAATCGGGAGAAATTTCTGAACCTGAAAGTACGTCATCCCGACTTCCAAAAAATTCTAAAATTAATTCCGTCACTTACAAATGGCTAAAAATAATTAAAAATACATTTCTAAAAATCTCCACTCGAGAAATGACCTAAACGGACTTTGGGGTCCGCGTGGCACGCAAAATGATGCACGAAAAATAAATAAAGTAAAAATTCGAAAAAAAATTACTTAGGGCCTATTTTGTTAAGGTATTGTTTTTGTTGCCCTATCCATTAGGCTTGATTTTATTTTATTTTGAACCTGTGGTATGCATGTACAGTTCTCCTATTTCTATTTATTTTACTCACTTACTTATCCAAAAAAAAAAAATTGCCCCTTCAAAGAATGTAAAGAAATATATATATATATATATATATATATATATATATATATGTATTTTTATTTATAAGAATTTTTTTTTAAAATAGCAAAATTATTATTATTATTATTATTATTAGTTGTTTTTTTTTTTTTTAAAGTACAAGGTTTTGATTTCAGTTTTTCAATTTAATATGGTAGTCAATGAAATCTTATTTGAAAAAAAAAAAAAAATTTGAAACTTTCTTTGTCATTTGGAATTTGTTTTTTTCTATATCACGCGTTTTGCAACCCAAAACCCACCCAAACCCACCCAATTGCCACCCCTAGTCCAATCCAAATCACAACTAAAGCTCTACATTATATTTGAAACTCAATCATAATTATGAGAAGTTGATAAGATACCACTAAATTAAATTTTTTAATAAATATATAAAGCCAAAGGAAAATCATATCATGTCACTAGAAGGCTAACTATAAAGCTAAAAGAATATTTCATTTTCTTTTCACCAAAAGGATAACAATGGAACCGTGTTGACGCTTGTCAATCCAATAAAAACTTGAATCCAAAACCGAACCGTGTAGACGCTACCTATCCATATGAGTCCAATATCCTCTCCATTCGAATCCCATATGAAACAACCCTCTATGTCAAGCTTTAGCTTTATTCCATATATAATGAACATCTTTGGTGGCGACGGAGGAGTCTAGACTAGTGGTTTCGAATATGAACCTCCTTATCTTGGGTAACAACAATAATCTTAAATATATCTACATAGTCCTTTTCACATTCTCATTTTTATTGCCAATAAGACACCAAATTATTGCCAATGAACTGTATATAATTTATTTATTTATTTATTTATTTGTCTTCTTCTTTTTAACTTTGACCCGCAGCTCAAAAGGAAAACACACAGAGAGAGAAACAAGATTATTATTGTTAAGGGTTCAATTCTTTGTTTTTAGTCTATGAAGTTATAAATAAAATTATTCAAGAAAAAAAAAAAAATTTTTGTTTTTAGTCTATGAAGTTATAAATAAAATTAGTCAAAAAAAAATAATAATAAATAAAAAAAAAAGGGAAAGAAAAAAGAGACTCTTACTTCGTCCTTAGTCCTTGTTTGGTGCGCTTGTGTGTTTGTAAGACTTTTTCTTTTTAAAAATTTTTATTTTTTTAACACCATAACATTTTATTGTATGCAATACTAGCGTCAAACTATCTATATAGTATAGGCAAAAGTGTAAAAAAAACTTCCCTAAATTATTGTCCTTTTACAAATAATTTATCTGAACTACAAATTACCCCTAAACTATTAATTTGTTGCAATTAAGGATTATTTTACCCTGTCTCATTAAATTTGTCATTTCTTATGAAATTTATTATTAGCTTTTCTATTATCTAACTATTAATTGTATCATTTACCTTAATTTTATTATTAGTATCAATTTATCGTAAATTGAAAAAAAATAAATAGATTTTTTTACTACCATTTTCTATAATTATTAACTTATTATTAAAACTTTACTATTTATAATAAAACTTATTATACTTAGTCTAAACTCTTTTATTTTGAAAAAATAAATTCTTTTTCATACAATATATAATTTATTCATGAAAAATTAATAAATTACTTAAATAAAAAATACCTTCTTTTTTATTCAATAGATTCATGAAAAATTAATAAATTACTTAAATAAAAAATACCTTCTTTTTTATTCAATAAATTCAAGAAAATTTAATAAATTACTTTAATAAAAAATACCTTCTTTTTTGTTAAATAAAATCATGAAAAATTAATAAATTACTTTAATTGTTTTAAAATTTTCTACTTAAGATTTTTATTTAAACATTTAATTTTAAAAAATTAAAGGTAAATTTATGCAAATTTAATGGAGAATATCATCAAATTAATATGATTTTTTAACATAATTTATTTCAATAATAAAAAATAAAAATAAAAAAAAATAAAAAAAAAGACGAAGTGTAATTCAATAAGAAAGTGCATTATGGTTATTTAATAAAAAAAATAGTTAAGGCATTGGGACATTTTGCAACTATATGTGATAGTTTAGGTGGGTATCATGCACAAAATATAGTTTAAAGAGGTTATTTGTAAATTCGAACATAATTCAAGATGATTTTTTTGTACTTTAACCTATAATGTATAACGATTAAGACACTAGCGAAATTCCAGAAGAAGAAAAAAAAAATAAAACAGAAAACTGATTCTCATTTATTCATTAATTAACTCCTCTTACATGCATTTATAGCTTGAAATTAAACAACTTAACCCGCATTGGCATCACTTAAATTTCCTTCTTGAGTCCCCCTTTTTTGTGACTTTGAAAATGAGCTAACAAATTATCCACATACTTGTCTTGTGTATTCCTGTCACCAAACAGCCCTCTCATCTCCTTGGCCTTGTCCCTGAATATCTTCCCTCCTTCCTCTACAATCACCAACCTCAGTGACTCAGCCACTGAGTCACTCGTGAACGACCCGTCTCGCTCGTCTCTCGGTATGGAGTAACCCATCCTCTTCTCTTCCAAAACCCTAGCATTCAACCCTTGCTCCGCCAAAAATGTCAATAGTATAAGAGCTATCCCAAACTGTATTCCCTCCACCACCGAACTCCAACCCGAGTGAGTCAAGAACCCACCCACTGAGTCATGACTCAGTATCTTAAATTGAGGAGCCCAACCTGTGCACACCCACCCACGGCCTTTGGTTCTCTCCGCAAACCCTTCCGGCAACTCGATCACCTCCATATCGGCCATCCCTCGCCGCTTCCTTAGAACCCAAAAGAACGGTAACTCGGATAGCTCCAACCCTAGAGCTATTTCAGTGAGTTCAGCTTGACTCGGTTTCGCCTCGCTCCCAAATGCAACATAAACCACTGACCCTTTACTCTGTTCATCAAGCCACTCTCTTATTTCCCTCCATGCAGGGTCCTCATCGTTGTCATGATAAGATATCGCCGGTAACTGACCCACTGGTATAACCGGCTTTGGCCGGTGAATATCTCCAAGAACTCTCAACCACTCTGGTTCAAACTCATAAGAACTTCTCAGAGTCATCACATCACAGTCTTCAATGCTCTTTCCTAACCGATACACACCCGGAACGCCGCCTTCGCCGTCTCCTTCCAGTTCGTCGAAAACTCGCATAATCTCAAAGAGTCGATAAGCAACTGTTGATTTGAACGGAATCCAGTTGGGCGGGACTGTGAAGTCCTCCGGCTTCTTCCGATAATCGTTTTGAGGTTCCAGCAAGAGTGAAGCTGGTCCGACATAAGTCATAGAAGAGGCAATGAAGATACAGAATAAAGCACTTGAAATGTGTAGCTTAGCTGCAATTGCACCTACCCAATAAGGTATCACGTCATAGATAACCCAATCAGGAGAAGAAGCTTCAAGAAAGCTTGTCAATGGCTGTTGGAGGAGATCATAGGCTCTCTTGAGGTACTTGACCATGTGGTAAGGTAGGTCGGTGGTGGACTCGGCGTTTTCGGGGAGGTTTTGGACATGGGGTAGAGGAAGTTTTACGAAGTTGATGAGAGGAGCTACGTTTGGAGGAAATTTTGGGAGGCGATCGATGTTTCGAGGAGTGGATACGAAGGAGATTTTGTGACCCTTTTGGGCGATGAGCCTTGAGACCTCGAGGAAGGGGAGCATGTGGCCGAAAGCTAACCATGGGAACATAACTATGTGTAGTTTACCAGTTTCGGCCATGGTTGAGGGAGGTGTGGACTCCATGGCTAGCTAGAAAACTTGAAGCTGTTAGAGAGGTCTACTGTATCTCATAAGGCTCTCTCCATATATACTACCAAGTCTACAACAATAGAACTAAAAAATGTAACTATGATATTATGTAAACGTGCCACCAATGATAGGATGTGTGGTGTCTGATGATACTCTATATACACGTTAATCCAACCATTGAAACGGAATTGTGGAGCCAATTTTATTTATTTATTTATTATTATTATTATTATTTTAGAATAGTATTTTATTAGATAATTTCATATTAATTAAGAATTGTAAACGTAACAAGAAATTAGGTTTTAGACTCTATAAATTTATACGTAGATGTGTTGAGGCTATTTCAAGCCGGACCAACCTATGTTGAGATGATTTTTTTTTTTTTTTTTTTTCTTTACTATTATGTTCCACTTTTTTTTTCATTTTGATTTATTACGGTTATATTTATTCATTCTGAACTCTTTATATTGGTACTGTTTTTATTATCATAGTGAAATTCTTGTAATTCATAAACCTAATTTTGAGTGACTTAAGTAAAAATCTTTGTATTCTAGTGTGTTTGATTTGATTTGTGTTTAATTTCGTAACATTGCGCTAATGACGTATTAATATTGTTCATATATGTTTAGACAATACTTGCCTACTCACTCGTGAGAAGGTTTATTTTACTGACTGATTATGTGTTCTAATAATAAGTGGACACATCAGCTTTAATGACAAAATAAAATAAAATAAAATAAAAGTAATAAAAAAAGAGAATAAAGCCGGTTCGATCCGTTTCAATTGGGTAGCTGTATTCAAACCCTATGTATTTTTTTTTTCTCTCTTTTACCCCCTTCCGTCGTCCTTTCTCCACTGTTCTTCTTCCTCTAATCTTTTATGGAACATCATCAATCAATAGGAGAGTACTTTTGCAAAATCTCTCAGGTTTCATATCACTCAATAGGCAAGGGTGGGCTGTGGGGTACTTTTCCCACTTCTTCTACCTAGAACTATTTGATCACACTATTATTATGATAATATATGCTTTCTAAACTTCTAGTATGAATTGGTTGTGTATAGGCTATGTACCGTTGAATATATATGTTTAGAGATCAAGATAGTGATGTAATAGCTTTGTTGGTAGAAAAATAAACAGAGCTTCTCAAGTTTCTGCTACGACCGTGTTAGTAAAAAAAAAAATTTGGTTGATTAATTTCCAAAAAAAAAAAAAAAACTAGAAAAAAATATTTTATATATCACATTAAATGTTATAAATAACATAAATTATATAATCCAATCGAGGTACATTTACAAATCCATTAAAGACGTATTGGGAAGAGAATTAACAATAACGAAGCCAATTGATTGATGATCTTCCGTGAGAAGAAGGGCAATGGAGAAATTGGGATGGAGTGAAAGAGAGAGAGAGTAAAAAAAAAAAAGTTTGAATATAGGCTGTTAGTTACCGAATTAAAATGAATCGATCCAATTTTATTATATTTTTTTTATTACTTTTTTGAATTTGTCATTAAAGCTGATGTGTCCACTTATTATTGGAACACATAATCGGTCGGTAGAATAAACCAACTCACCAGTGAGTAGACAAGTATTATCCTTTATGTTTTGTGAAGAGGCCAAAAAAAAAAAAAGAAAAGGGGTACATTTCCTGCACTGCAGGAGCTATTGATTTCACTGCAAAAATTGGAAGAATAATAAAGGGTACATTTCTAGAGAGTATGAGTTAATATGAGTGAGATGAATATCACAAGTCATTACAAATTTACGAAATCATGTAAGCTATGACAGAAAGCAATAAAAGAAATGTGAAGGGAGAAAAAATATCAATGGCTAGTTATGTCTTTTGACAACTGGTGTGACCACTCCTTTCTACACGTTGATTTTGAGGAGAGGTGCCCTTAATCATGATTTTCATTTTCTCCTTTAGGTTGCCTTTGTAACCTCCCTATTTTAAAAAAGGAGGGAAGGTTCCAGTTGGAGGGATTTGCGTTTACTTTATCATTCGAAAAGAAAAAAAAAAAAAAAAACACTCAAAGTCATGTGGGAGATTAAAATCATAGAAAAGATTGAACAATTCTCGTAACATTCAAGCATGCTGCAAAGTTGAAAAAATAAACAATAACAATAAGTTCTGAAGAGGAATGAACAAATTTAAGAATGAGCAGTAAAAAGTGTTTTGGTTCAAATAGAAAGGGTAATAGAACAAAGAGAGGGCCAAAAATTGTGAATTGTGTTTGTTTGACCTCTATCCCATAATAGCCCGAGTACCAGAGTCCCAGGATCTCTCAACTATTGGATCATATCATTCATCGAGTGAGTTCCATCATCAAAATCAACGGTTGAAAGCCTCGGGTACATTATAGAATTTTGCATCCTCATGTGATTGAGGCTTCACCAATTAAAGAGCATACTGTGGGCTGGGTGGGTTGATATCACGGGTCATTTGCATTCAAGTTTCAACCCAATAGGAACTAGTAAAAATATATATATATATGGGCAAGACATTGGGCTTGAATATTTTTTGGTTGGAAGGTTTCAAGGTCCCTCGGCCCAGAAAGCGTTCCTTTGAAATGGTAGGTGCTTATGCTTTGTCACCAAAACCTTTTCAATCTAGATTGAGCAGTACAACCTTGATTCTACAGCTCGCTGGGCCATTGGCCCATATGGTATGAACTTCCCTCTCAAAGGAGTGGCTATCATTTCTCGTTCCACACACAGATGTGTGTGTTTCTGGTGAAAAACTTAAATGTTCCTGGTGTAATAATGACATGATATCACGGACTAATTAAACATGAATACATGATTAATAATGCATTTATTTTAATGGCTACCATCATTGTATGTCAGTATTTAATTAGTGTGTGGTATCATATCATTAAATTGAAAGGGATGTGCAATAGAAACTTTTTAAATTAAAACCTTTTAAAATGACTATATCATGATAGCTATAGAAACCTTATAAATTGAAAGAGATGTGCTCTTTTTATATTGTACGTATGGAGTTAATTAATTTCTTATTTTACCAAAAGTGCATAAAGAGTTGACCACATTATAAGTGTGATACTAAGGCTATGTTTGGTACAATATAAAAGAATGGAAATGATAACATTAATTAGGAGGAAAAAGAAAAGAAAAGAAATGTAATAATAATTCTAGCTTCAAAGGAAAAGAAATAAAATGATAATAATCATGTTTGGAGAAAGAAAGGAAAGGAAAGAAAATTATTTTAATTAATTTACTACAATACCCTTTTATATTTTAAAACACAAATTTATAAGTTAAGTGTGTAATTTAAAAATAAATAAAAATTTGTTAACAACTTTGTTGTTCTTTTAAATTCAAGTTTATAGATAAGCAAAAGAAAATATATCATCTGATCTTTATTTCAACACAAATTAGTCAAATTAAATACTACCTAGAGAACCAACCAACATATTTTTTCAAGAAAACATGATCCAAATTAAAAGTTCCTATGAAAGCAAGGGCGGAGCTAATTAAGGTCCAGAAGGGGCACGTGGCCCCCTGCCCTTGCTCTAACCTACTATATCTAAGTACATATTTTTCCTATATACATATACTTATATGGTAATTTTAAATAGTACCCCCCTAAAATTTTCAAATTCCTCTAATTTTCTTTTGAAAAAAAAAAAAAAAAAGTTACATATATTCCTCTTCTTTAAGTACACCATATATTTTTCCTTTTTCTAATTTTTGTTTCCTTTTTCAAAAAATTTCTTTTTTCACTTATGTATAATTATGTATTGTACCATTTTTTTCCTCTTCTTTATTTTTTCGATGACATTTGTGATTGTATTTAATTAAAGTATTATTAATCAATATTTTGATTCTTATATTTGTCAAGTATATTTTTTTTACGATACTTATTTAGCATATTATTTTACAACTATTTTTTTTTTCTTGTTTGCCTTTTGATTTTAAAAAGTTATATTTGTCATACTTGTTGATTTTTATTTATTTTTTTTATTGTTTTCAATAAGTGCATTGTGCGGCTTGTGCTCCCTAAAATAAAATACTGGTTCCATCCCTGATGAAAGCTCTTGGCAAAATTATTTTGTGAAATATTTATTTGCCTCCAATTAATGTTTCCAAGTTGTACACACAAATTTTGTAAGTCTGCAAATAGAAACAAAATATGGAGCAAATAGTAATTTATTAATTTATAAAGATGAAGAATAATCCTCTATAATAATATTCTTTACAAAAAGAATGGTCCTCTGATTCGATCTCCTTTTTGGTTAGTTGGATCCAAGGGCTACACAAGCTTGTTCTTGAATCACCGTGAAATTTGATAAAGAACAGCACGTCGTTGGATGTGCTTATTGTTGATCACCGTGGAATTTGATGAAGAATGGCATGTCGTTGGATGTGCTCGATGTTCTTTGCTTTTGGGTTTGGATTCTGAATTTGTGTTTCTGACTTCTGAGTCTTGATTTCTAGACTTTTGAATTCTGAATTTCTGTCTTTTGTTTCTGGACTTCTGAATTCTGAATTTGTGTCTGAATTTCTGAACTTCTGAATTCTGAATTTGTGTCCTTTGTTGAATTTGAGGAAGAATGGCACGTCTTTGGATGTGCTTGTTGTTCTTCGTCTTCAGAGAGGATTTGTTGAATTTGGTGAAGAACGGCACGACTTTGGATGTGCTTGGTGTTCTTCGCCTTCAGGTTTGCCCTCTGGATTTCTGATTCTCTGGATTTTTGGACCTTGAATTTTTGTACCCCTTCCTTCTTCCTCTAGACCTCTATTTATAGGCTTCTTGGATTCATAGGATGATGACATGTATCATCGCCTAATAAGGATAAAATCATAACTGGGCCGAGCCGGTTATATTATGATAATTATCCTTAAAAATAATTATTCTAAATATATTTTATTAGGAATAATTATCTTTTTTATTTAACCATCTGGGCTGGGCTAATTAAATAATTTAAGTAGACCAAACTTGGGCCAATTAAATAACTTCATTAAACAT